GTAAGTGTGGTTAGCAGTTTCCATAAAAGGAAGAGCTTATATTCATAGGCTCCTAAAATTGAGTATTCTTCTGAAGATTCGAATGATGTATAAGTAAAAAGTACAAGTTTAAGTGGAGTTAAATTGCACCATGTTCATGATGTGAATATGTGTATCCAAATCAAATTTAAGAATCTTTAGAATCTCTCCAATGTCCCATAATTATTGTAGTAACAGTTCCCTACAAATTCTTAATACAACGAACATTCTCCGGGATGTAAAGCAGTGCCTAAGATGACTCTATATCTTATGGATCATTATCACAGTTTGGTTTGCATGGTGCAGTAAGAATATTTATGATGGAGCAAGTTGGCATAATTTTTACTACTATTGCAGGTCTCTAAACCATTTATGAACTGTAGTCAAGATATTGCCCATTTTTATAAACCATAAAATGCAAAGTTTAACTGTTACCCACAGTTTACATAGAAACCAGTAAAGTGTAACTTTTTGCCTGTCATATTAATCAGTGTAATTACATATTCAACTTTAATTACTGGTGCGTCTGTATTGGCAAGGTTTATACGTTATATTTTATGCAAGACTACGATTCCTATTAATATTTAGCAGCTAACTATATCATTAATTACTCTAAAATCTTTCCCCTACCATCCTTTTAATGGAGCTGAGAGAGTAGATGTATTAAAAATTGATGTTTTGTGAATTTCAGAAATGTGTATAACACTCTAAAAATGCCTGGGCTTATTCAATAGGCCAACCATATCAGTTTCTTGTTTATTAAAACGTACAGACTATGGGAGAACCTAGAATTCAGGGGGAAAAAATCAGAATTTGAAATATATATGTATATATGTATATATATGTATATATGTGTGTGTATATATGTATATATACACCTTTCAGTTGTTATATTGAATTATAACTTATGTCTGTATGTACTTCCTAAAGTTAAATGTTATATACTTCCAATTTTAAATTATTGAGGTAAGTTTATTACTTTCTCTCATTTTTATACTTTCTCCACCTATGTTTGAATTAAGTATCTAGTCAAAGATCTGAAAGAGAAATGTGATCTTTATATGTGTCTAGTTTCACAGAATTTTATTTTGTTGACTTTTAAAACATCTTATTCTACTTGACATATTAATGTCTTTCAGATCATGTACCTAATTGCTTTATAGCACTTTTATTCTATCACCTTTTTGAAAAACACACTGTGAACATTAATGTGTTTCATCAGGTTCGAAACCATGACTTTTTCAAAATGGAAAAATTTGTCTTTTGGAAGTGTCTTTAGATGTATTAAATAATACAAAAGCAGTAATAAAACTCGAAGAAGCAAGAACATGAATATATGCTCTTGAGAATAGCAGTACAGTAAAATAAGGAAAGTGAGCAATCAGACAAAAGTTTTCCATTCCTGCTTTATCCTGGAGCCAGGCGGAGGGTAGCTGCATGCCTTTTACTTTCAGTTCTCCTGAGTATGCTAATGTTAAAACAATACAATTTTAAAGAGCAAACAAGAGTTAGAGCCTGTTTTCCCCCATTAAGAAAAGACCTAGTTTAGAGAAATGACATTCATAATAAAAGTATTTAAGCTGTTGATACAACTCCCTGTTGCTAGGATGCAGTAGATAGTTGTTATAGACCATATATAGAGAACATGTAGAGAAGTATTTTTAATGTGATGGTATTAAAATTAAAAATAATGATGCAATAAAGTAGTTTATCAAACATTATCTTTTTAGAACTTAAGATAATATTAGGCTAAATTATGGCATTTTTAGGGTTGTAATATTCCTCATTTGGTAATTACTATTTTAGGTTCTTCATTTTATTAATTTAGCTACAGTTTAATTGTGGAATATGTCAGAAAAGAAAATATTATGTTTAAAATGATATGTAAAAATTGTATATATAATGCCTGATTTCCTGCCACTATGGCTTTATAAAATTAAAATGTTCATTTAACAAACTGTACATTTATGCAATATTTGAATATTTTTATGTATTTTTCTTAGAGAGATAAAAGGAAAGTTTCCCTCAGCTTATTAAAAATTGATTTCAGAAAAGAGAAAAATTAGAGGAAGTCCAAATCTTGTCTTTTTCTAATTTATATAAATTATAATCAAACTTTTAATTATCATGGAAAACATTGAATTACATTCATTTTTTCATCAGTCTCTGCTGTTATTAACTTTTTGTATATAAGATGTCAAATATTGTTGATAGAATTTCATTTCAGTATTTTATATTTTCATCTTTATAGAGTGTTTAGAAACTTTCACTTAAAGAATGTTAGACATTTTATGTACATTATAAGCCAAAGAAAAATATTATCTAATTCTCTCCATCAAAATTTGGCTGCATATAATTGAATGCACTTCCAAGTACTTTGAAAATTAAACAGAAATGGAAGAATTTTTATGAACCATTTAAAAAGCATACTTATGTGTCCTGAAATGAAGTCATGGTACTTGTTGTTGTTTTGGAGGGGATAGTTATGCGGATGCAATTAGAAACTAGACCCAGAAAAGTCTGGTGGGATCAGTATTACAGATGACAGGGGTTCCAATCCCAGATTTAGCATTTAATAGCTGAATAGGATTCATTTTTCCCTCAGTTCTCTCAGCTGAAAATGAGGTTAGCAATAATACCTACCTCTCAGAATACTTGCAAATGAAATGAGTGCCTGAAGCATAATAATTGCTCTGTGTGTCCCTCATAGTGCTGTGTACACATTTACTGGTTCATATTACCTCTTGTAATACCCGATTGTTATTGTAAATGAGACTATAAACAATATTAAAATATTTCCCATTTTAATGGCACTTCATAAGCATGCGGTAAGTTTACTAGACAATCACTTTTCTTTTCCTCCCACATCTTCTTATAATTCATGAAGTAAGGTATATGAAGTTTAAACAATATGAGGCCTGGCTTCATGGTAGGCATCAGCTAGAGTCAGCAGGATAAGAAATTTTTTATATAAAATGGTGTAATCTAAGGTTGTACACAATTAACAATTCAAAAAGAGAGAATAATATCAACCCAGAACAGGGAACTTGTGATATGTGCCTAGAAAACATTGATTATTAGTTTTGAAAGGAATTTAGAGTATTAAAAGTAAAGTAGAATTTAGAATATATGAAGTGGGACTAGACTGTGGAATGTCTTAAATATCAGGCTATGGGTTTTATTTTACCCAGTATGGAGCCTGTGAATGTAATGAACTTGAGCTTCACAGTATCAGAGCTGCGTTTAGGCAAAGTCATCTGACAGTGTACTGAATGAGCTGTGACTGCATGAAGCTCATGTATAGTAGGATATGTTGGAGGTGAGAAAGATGGAAACAGAAGTAATTCTTGTAGTATGTAGTATCTGACTTAAGTACAAGACTGTGCATGAAGAGCAGGAATTGATACCAGAAGCGCTGTAAGGAGAAATACTAGAACAAGACAACCAATGGAATGCTGAGGACAAAGAAGAAAATTGGGAGAGTTTCATAGAAACTTTAAAAGCTCAAAAGAACAAGAATGGACACAGGAGGAGAGGTTCAAGAGGGAAAATGATGAGTTTAGCATTTATTTGCTGAATCCAAGAACTAAATGTCCTTAAGATTCAGGACAAAACAAAACTGAAACTTTTATTTTGATCTTTCCATTCAACTCCAAAATGGCAAAATCCTATATGGTAAAATATAGAAGGATTCCTGAGATTGATGGAGATGTTTTGAAGCTTTAGAAGAGCAGAATAGCTATGGATTAGTGCTTCTTACAAGTTATTTTTGGAAAACAAGAGATACCACATTAGCATCCATATTATTCATCTTGATGCTCCACATTTAAAACTTGCCCTCCACTCCAACTTCTACTCTTGTAGTGCCCCTAACAAAGGCTTTTGCCAAACTAGTACATTTGTTTTGCCTTAACTATTTAGCTTTCTGCTCTTTTCTTTTTGCTTTTCATCTTCTTTCCCTCACCTACATTCCATCTTTCCTTCAGGGCCTAGTCCTATTTTCCCAAGTAAGCTTGCTGTCAGAACCCACACTCTCCTCCTCTTGTGTGAAGGGCTTATTCCTGGTACTAACACAGTGTGTATGAGAGCATGTCTGTGTGTGTGCATGTGTGGGTGATCATTTTGCACATATCCCTAACTTAAGGACAGAGATGATATTTTAGAGAAATTATCTTATATAATAAAAGGATAATATGCAAATTGACCCTAACTGCAGAATGACTGGGAATGACTGGTCACTATGACACACACTGACCACCAGGGGGCAGATGCTCAATGCAGGAGCTGCCCCCTGGTGGTCAGTGTGCTCCCACAGGGGGAGCTCTGCTCAGCCACAAGCCAGGCTGATGGCTGCCAGCACAGTGGTGGTGGGAGCCTCTCCCGCCTCCTCAGCAGTGCTAAGGATGTCTGATTGCAGCTTAGGCCTGCTCCCCGCTGGCAAGTGGACATCCCCGGAGGGCTGCCAGGCTGCCAGAGGGATGGCTGACTGCCAGCTTAGGTCAGATCCCCCGGGGAGTGGGCCTAAGCCAGCAGGTGGACATCCCCCGAGGGGTCCCAGACTGCAAGAGGGCACAGACTGGGCTGAGGGACCCCCCCTGAGTGCACAAATTTTTGTGCACCAGGCCTCTAGTAGTATATAAATGCCTAACACCTCATAGAACACAAAGTAAGCATTCACTAGCCATCTGATAGTGATTAGGAAGAATTAAGTGGGAGGTGACAGTCTAGCTTGAAATGGGTCGACTTCACAAAGAAATATAAGAGTAAAATCCAAGATTGTCTTAGACCTCTGAAGAAGAAAGGAGAACAAGAGATTTTAGGAAGAAGGGATAAGTAAATGCAGTGTTCATCTTTACAAGGGAGCAAAGAGATCTTTCTAAATATTGGTAGAGTACACTTTTTAAATTTTATTTTAATTAGTTGGTATATTTTATAGCTATCCTAATTTATGTGACTAGAAAGAGGCTGGCCCTTTCATCTCA